AAAATGATGCCTTCTGATGTAATCATTTCTTTTGTAAAGGACACTTAAGCTCTTCTCAAAGTGCTGCTTAGTTTTACATATATGTTTCATTACTATATGTTGTATTCTTGAACTGTCCTGAGATTAGCTGACTTTGGAAAAATAAAATTAAAAATCCAAGCATCTAGTTTGTTTCTAAGTTCAAAGCATTATGAACCTAATGCATATTTATTTCTTGACATCTGCCTGATGTAGTCTGTGATTGCTTTATAGTTTCCTTAGTAAGGAAAAAAATTCTGAAAGTCATTGTAAAAAATTCTGAAAAGACAGCAAATGCTGCAGTAGCCTATTTAATCCACTGAGAGGAGGAGAATATAGAGGTAAAGAAAATGAACAGTAAATTAACAAAACCAGCAGGATTCTCAGGGTTGTTGTTTAATCATCAGAGTGCTTAAGACTGTTTTTATATATAGCATCTATTTTGTTCTTGGAGATAATAGTCACATTTTATATTGGCAGGTGGTCATGTAAGTCTGATTTCATCTCCTGAGTGGAGTTCAGAAATGTAAACAATGTAATAAGGCAAAAAATCTGTAAATGAATCACTGTTAATCCAAAGTAGCTATTCTGAAAAAATAAGAGGTGAGAACAGTTGTATTTCTAGCTATTTCCAAGGAAATTACTGCTGGGTGTGCTGAAGCAGGCTTTGGTACCCTTAAGTATTCCTAATTGGGCCATCGAGAAAATGATCAAGAATGTTGCTATGTCATCTTAAACTTCTCTGCAACAGGCTTAAAAACCTGAAGAACATCTGGGAGTAGCAGTAACAATATTCAAGCCTGATGCAATCAGTAAGAAGTTATTGTGGAACAGGTACATTTTTTTCCAAGGCTGGAATTAGAAAGCCAGTGGGCTGAAGTTCCAAGATGTTGCTGATGTTACTCTGGTTGGTAGCTGGAGGTCAAGAGAAGGGGGGATCTCTTTCACTACACATAGGCTCAGGCTGCAACAGAAGCTGTAAACTTCAAAGTGACATTTCAATGTGTGCAATGCAGGAAAGGACTTGTCACAGGTCTGTAGCACAACCTCCTCTTTCAACAGGATTTTTGAGTAAATTCAGTCTGCAACGGTATCTCTGTCAGACAAAGCAGAAAATGTAATAATTACCAAAATGTTAGTACAATCCAGCTGTGATGAGTTGATTTATTTATTTTAATTGATACAGTTGTTTCCAGGATTTTAGATTAGCAGTTTAGATTTAAATATGCCTAAAGCAAATCACGAAAGACAAATTGACTTTGGATTTGAGTTGCTTGCCCTTTATAGTCCTTGGAGGAGAACTTGTACAGATAAATACCCAACAAAAAGCCTTGTTTAAATTTTATTAAGCAGCTGTCAAAGACACAGGAGTTATCCTTTACCAGTCCTGGAGGAAAGAAAGCTCATAATGGGTAATCTTTCAACTAAGAGGCTTATTGAGCAAAACAGGAATGTAAAGATTATTCCAAAGGGTGCTGGCCACTGTCTGAGTTGCCTTTGTGATTTACAGCTGTAGTACCATTCCCTACATGAATTTCAGGGCATAACAATCTGTCAGTTCTCAAAGCTATAAAATCATCCCTTGGAGATAACTGAGCTATTCTCACATTGATGATCATTTCAGAACACGACTGTAATTTCTTTGCTTAATAATAACAGGTGTTGAGGTTTGGAACATCGTGCTGTAGGTGTAAGACTAATAATCATATTAAACTAGAAACTGTAAGATACTGTAGATATTAATGTATCTAATAATGAAATAATGTATCAGATCCTTTTTACAGTAAATAGGAACTGAAAAAGGCCCATAAAGAGCTTGGAAAATAAATGACATGTTGTAACTAAGTTATTTAATGAGATGTTAAAATGTTCACAGTATTTTTTACTAAGATATGGGAAAGTAGAGGGTTCCAACTATCTTCAGTTGTGAAGTGCTATGGTTTTATTTATTTATGTTTTTCTAAGATTCCAAAGTTGTTTAGCTAGTGTAAAAATACGAGACACAAACACCCACTATTCTCTGAAAGAGTTTCCATTGTGTATTGGAAAGTTCTCTGGTGTTATGTTGGTCCATAATGCCATCAGCATGGGGACTGAGCACCATAGGTAAGCATACTAAATGAGTCTGATTCTTTTAGATAGAAGTCCTTCGTTCTGTTAAGGATGAACATAATTTAAACTAGATGTATCTGAGTTAGAACCTGTATGTGTTTAAAGAAATTAGTAAGTTTTGACTACAGTAAGAGGGAAAGAAAATTGTGTTGTGAAAGCTTCATACTGAAGCTCACTCCATCATCTCTGGCTAGTCCCTGAGGACATTCTGTCTCAGGAACACAAACTGTAAACTTGTGGTTTACAGTGCACTACCAGACGTGGCATGAAAGTCATGACATAATTGTGTGGTGATGCTAGAAGCTGCAAAGCTTTAATTCCTCATAAAAAGTTCTGTTCTTTCTGATAATGGAAGTTTTCAGCCAGCCTCTGATCAGTAGGTCTTTAAAATTTTTTAGTCCAGTCAGCATTTGGAATAAGAAAATCGGCAGCTTCAACATTCTCTCTAGAGAGAAAGAGAGATCTAATGTGTGCAGAGGAATGAGGACTTAGATACCGTGTGTGGCTCTAGTCGGGTTTTGCTAAGAACCAGTGGTGCAGGTATACCCTATTATGGCATTGTATTCTGGTTTTCAGGCCTGTTCTCTCACCCTGTTTAGATGTATAGTAAATACATAGGAGGGGAAGCTCAGAAACCATGACGTTCTCAACTAGTGTTACCGCTGAAGATGAATAGATCATGCGGACACAGGTCGAGGTGTGGTGAAAAAAGAAAGAGCAGAGTTTATTTTTTCTCCCAGGATTTGTAGCCTTGTGACCATGGCCAGGGATTGGATGGTCAGGATAACACTTTCTCACTGCACTGGCCATGAGAAATGCCCATCACAAGACGTGGAACAGAAAGAATGTACACATATCTATGTTTACAGTCACTGTCCTGGGAAAGTCCTTAGAAAACCATGCTAGCAAGCTCAGAAGCTGAGTTTTCAGGGCAACAACTAGACCTGTTCAGAGTATACTGATGTCTATGAACAGGATGTGTGGAAGTATCAGATACATTTGTAATTGTCTTTAACCAAGCCACAAGAAGTTATTACAGAAGAATAAATTATATTGAACTTAGCATTTTGAGAAAGATGGGTGTTTAATGAAATTTGTTGCCCATGAAGTAGATGGGAATGCAATGAAAATATATTCATGTCTCTGTTTGCAACTTGTCCTAATATTGTCTGATCATTGAGGTGCTTCCTGCACACCTGCACTTTCTGTGAGTCATATACTCTGCACATTAAAGTTATTAGCATAATGTCTGACTATTTTAAAAATGTGTTTATATTAACTACACATTTTCTTTTTTAGGTCAAGTAACCACAATATGAATAATGATCCATTTATATCTGTAATATACATTTAAAAAAAAAAAGTAAAACAGAAACTGAGAACTTGGTATGCACTTGGTATTTTTCTTTGCAGCCTTACTGCTGCCATGCAACCTTTCCTTCACCATACATTTCTGACAGAAAAAATACAAGGGTTTCTTTTCTTGCAGTCATCCCCCGTAGATACTGCTGATTCATGCAACACACTACTATCTGGATACTGAACCTTTTGATCTTCTGGACCTGGATTTATTCTTGATATTGCTGACTTTACTAAAAAGCCATTGCATGATGAGAGCGAGACAGAAAATTGAGTCACGCTCCAACACCATGTTTTCTATTCTTCATATTTTTGTTCCATCTCCTCTGTTGCCAACCAGAAGCGTTCTACTCCAATTTATAGATGGTGCATCTTTCAGCATATCTCATTTTTGGTATCTTTGATCTAAGTTTTGAGAACTGGAATATGAGATATACGATGCAGAGGTCTCTTCTGAATGCCTGACTTATGTCTGCAAGCTGCAGTTTGTAGGCAGTGTGTCATCACTGTCACAGTGAATGTGGTATTAAAAAGCACATTCATCCTGCCAGATGAGCCTTTTTCAGCACATATGTAAGATATTCTAAAAATAGCTGTTGGTTTCAAAGGAGTCTACAGTGAAGAGAAAAATAGACAAAATACAGAGACATCTCATATTACATTCTCTTAATTATCTACCCAGACCCATAGAATTTGCACTGTAGTTACCATGCATTATTTATCGAGTCATCAAAAAGCAAAGCCTGGACTAAGACATGTATATTCTAATAAAGTGTGGACCAGGGTCTGGAAGCTGAAATAGTAGGTGAAAGCTCACTGCTGTGGATATGTATCAAGGTTCAATCCTTAAGGAATTATTTTTGGAAGGATGCTTAGTTGAAAACTTAGTACAATCAAGAGCCAGAAATCTTGCAACAAGCAAATCCAACTCACATACATGATTTTTAAGTCTCTTAGGAACTAACATTAACAAAAAGTCTCTTAAAGGAATCTGTTTGTCAAACACCAGGCAAAAAGTTGCTTTATTCCCATATTTTAAATGGTGATTTTGTTTGAATTAAAGATAACGCTCCCTGTCCTCTGAACTTTCACACATCTAAATTGATCTAAATCTAAATTGAACAGAAGTTTATTTTTGTTTTGGGAAGTCTGACTACCAGGAGAGTGATTAGTAAGGAAAACTAGGTGTTGTGAATTATTTGTGATACAAATTTTAACAGAATGTTCCTAAAGAATTTTTTCTTCTTGCACTGAAATGATTGATGTAAGTTAATCTCAACACCAGAGTTATTCAACAAACGGCCTTTCCCCAGATTCACCACAGCTAAAGGATGCAAAACTGCATCCTTTTCTGTATTAAAACACACAAATATACACTCACTTAACAGTAGAAACATAATGGGAAAGTCATCTTTAATCTGTACAACAGATCCATTTCAATTTACTTAGAAGGCATGTCTGTAGCCTAAATTACAGAATAAAGTAGAAAACAAATTAAAGTTAACAAAAATTAAACATTTTTATTTTAAAAAATAAAAATTGTGATTAAAAATTTAAAAAACAGATTGAGAATTTAGAGTTAGATCTTTGAGAGTGAAGTCTTCAACGAAGAATAGGAATCAGAATTCAGATTTGGGATGTCAGAATCTTCAGGGTTTGCCTCAGATTTAAGCCTCCTGATATTTCAGTCAATACCCCAACAGCCCACTAAATAAGTTACTAAAAGGAAAACTGTAGGAAAAAAATAGGGGGTTGTTTGTCAGTCATTTTGGCATGTTTCTCTAATACTGGCAAAGGTATTTTATTTATATTATAAAGGTCATTTATATGAGAAACACTTGCTTACAAAACACTTAGTATTCCATACAGACTTACCATGCAGTTGTTTCAAATCACATTAGATTGCATAAACTTTTCTGCAGTGTAATGAAATGGAAAAAAATTTACAGATGCAGTGCATCAGATTAGTTTCACAAGAGCAGTATTTATATCTTGCAAGCAGTGATGTATGCTGAGAGTGATACTCTTTCCAGCTTGCCAGTCAGAACTGTTTTAGCCTGAGAATTATTCTGTTTCCTAAAACTGTAGCAAACAGATATTTCAGGAAGGGAACAGTTGCAAGACTATCTTAGACTGTTTTTGCATTCATGCAAATTATACATTCACTGATAATTAAAGTGCTTTGAAAGAGAACTGGCAAGAATAACATAAACCTCCAGACTGTACAATTTTCTAGCATCTAAAACGAAATTGCTAGAATACATCTTGAGTAGGCAGTGGACCAGCTTTTTATTTTGGATTTTAATTGGTACAAGTGTACTAAATCTCATTTCGAAACAAAGAAGAACCTCAATGAAACTTACTGCAAAAATGGAAAAGAGAAGTGAGGAAACAATAAGAAATAAGATAGAGCAGGTGATGAAAGCAAGCAAGGACAGCAGACTTGACTTTTCAAAGAAAAATGTAAAGATGGTGTTGAAATAAAAGAATGCAGTCTAAGAAAAAGCAGAAGTACTTGGAGCAGTAGAATAACATGCCTCAGTGAAACAGAGAGATTAAAATCCTGCCTGAGAGAATGAGAACAAAGCAATGAGCCCTGCTTAGTTTGGGCTGAGAGAAAAGGATTACTTATAAAGAGGAGAAAAGGGAACAAAAGTAATGGAGTGGAGGAGAGACAGGAGAGGCGAGCATGAGAAGATGTTGGAGTATAGCAAAATAAGAAATGACAGACATTGAAAGACTTGAATATGTTCAATTCCAAATAAAATTCAGTGGGCACCAAAGGACTTAACATGCTGGAAGATCATAACTGTAAGAAAGGGGATTTTATTATTCTGATTCTTCCCTTCCATTCTGAATGGTTTTTGGTAGTGTCTTCTTGCATTGTTGCCTTGTCAGTCTAGGACATTTCAGGACTGACTCTGTGCTCTTCTTCAGTTGTAGAACTGGCCATCTGTACTTGTGCTGTGAGACATGTTCATGGCTGAGCAAGACTGGTCAGTTGTTCATAACAGATTATACATGTCACTGCTTCTCTGGATGTGCATTTCTGAAATTTATGAAGCTGAATAGTTCCATCAACCTGATGCCTTGCAGGAGGTCTTGTAACAGCCAACACCTTGTTGGATTAGGTCTTATATGCCTGAAAAATGGAAGCCATGATGTATAAGAAGGTTGTAAATTTTTTCTCTGTATCTATTTCACATCAGTAAATACCAGCAAAAATTCCAAATTGCATTTTTCTCAAAATTTAAGAATTAAACAAACAAACCTTCACATTTTATGTGATATACATCTCTATTGCTAGAAATGCCATGAAATTCTTTCTCTGGAGACATATCTTTTGGGATGAGGACAGTATTTTATGTTACTAGCAAATAATTGTTCATTCAGCTTCAGAAGTTTTGGATTATTTTTCTGAAATATTTTATTAAGTCATTCTTTTTTTCCATTAGTCCTGTCTCCTATCAAATTTTAAGAATACGATATTCTGTGAGGTTATAACCTATGATGTTAACAGGAATGAGATGCTCACTTTCTAACTTGTCACCAGGCAGAAGTTTAGACTATTCATTCACTTAAACCTATTTGGGTATGACTGTTTTGAGTAGCCAGATCTAGTTGTCTCTCAGAAAGTACCAGTTTCTTGAAAAACTTGATTGCTCTTGGCCTCAAACTGCAGTACTATCTGTAGCCAGTATCCTACAAATCATTGGGCCAGACTGGCCTTTATTAAAAATAGCATCAATCACATATTTAATGGCATAATAATGTAGGCTGACCTTCAGATATATTTCTCTGGTACAAGAAAGTGTGATGGATGAACATGCTTGCTTACTTGTTTTAAACTCTGTGAAGGTGGCTGGTGGGATTTGGAAAGTATCCATTGGTGCTTGTCACATGAATTGGCCATAATTCCTGGCCTTTGTACTTAATGTCCTAAGTGTAGTCATTATGCACAAGCCATTCATGTGGAATTTATTGGTCTGTTATAAAATTTTGAAAACTTACTGTGCACTGTGTGATTCTCATTTTTCAGGCATGTCATCCTTCTGCTTTGATGTTAAATGTATTTTGTTTTGTTCTTCAAACCAATATCCAAGATCAACTTGTGACTGTAAGGTGGGAGGCAGCTTGCAGAAACCTGCTGGATTTAATGACATCTTTATTTATGTAAGTGGCACAGCTATTATCTGGACTGTTCAATTTCTGCACATATAATGCAGACACAAAAATGCAAATGAAAGAATCAAAAGGATAAAGCAAAGCTGTGTTAGTAAGATTCAAGATAAGACAAGAAAGGTTATAAACATCTTCCTCCTTCCCAAACAGTTCTAATATTAGTTATCCTCCCAAATCCCTAGGCATGCAAGAAACCTTTGAAATGCTTTCAACAATTAACAGTTTTATTCTTTTATGTGCAGTTTAGCCCTTGAAGCATCATTTATAGCTAGCACTTTACTCCTACTAACATCTCCCTTTTTTTGTTCCAGTTAACCAGCGGTAGGAGCGGCATAATAAAATAGCACTAGAGAAAGATAAGTGGGGACTTACCTGCCATTCTTCTGGGCTCAGTTTTAACACTTGCTTTCATTACTAAACTTGCAAATTCTATTTGGATATGGTTGCATGTGTTTAAATTCTGGAGCCTTTGACCCAGTAGGAGAATATTCTGCCTGTGCTTTTAACCTGTCTGAAGCTCTATGGTAGTGTTGCAATAGCTTTGCACTAAACCTCATCTGAATGCATGCTACTGAGTCAGATCCAGGCATCCTCACACTTTTTACTGACTTTGCATTTATTTTTAAAATATTATCTAATCATATGCATAGGAGGGAATAAATAACCTGGTTTAAAAATAAAAAAAAAATCCTTCTCAACAAAGTTCTGCCTTTTCCCCTGCAGGGTTTAAAGAAGGCAGTGACTCATGCTCCAGAATATGTATGGAAACACATGAAGGTATTCAGTCACTGAAATAATATTGAGCAGTCCAGCACATTTCTGACAGTGGTGTGGTATGTGTTAAACTGAGGGCAGGATTGTGTGGCAAGTACCAGCTGCTAGAGGGAGCTGGGACAAAGGCTGGTTTGTCACCTAGATCATCAGCACTACAGTAATCTCAAAGAGTAAAAACTTAGTACATTTATATTACTAAAGAAAAGAGGATTATGTTCTGACCCTTGAACAATTTCAGGAGGAGGCAGACTGGGGAATTGGTGGTTCTTACTACGTTTTCTGTAGGTGTAAGGATGAAAGCAAATTTTTGCAGAATGGAGGGGACACATATAAATGTTGAGAGAAGTTCACAGTCCATTTCTTGTGCAAGAAATTAGCTACATCACAAGTGATTATTTAAACCAGTAGGTAAAGAAAAGGTGGCATTCTTAGGCTCTTACACAGAGACTGAATCATACACCAGTAATATCAGTCACTTCTGAGAAAGTCTGGCACTAGCAAGGAAACAAATACGATCACAGGGGCACATTTCAGAAAATGTGAGAGTTATCTGGTACAGAGGGTAGTCAAAGAAGAATCCTGCCTAATAACAACAGTGACCAAAGCAATGCTTTACACTATCATTTTTTCTTCTGAAAATTATCAAATCATGTCATCTTTAAAAAGGTTGTTCATTTTCAAATTGTTATGGCTAACTCAGTGTCATGAGTTTTTGGGGGATTTTTTTGTCAAGGAATGCCAAAATGTAAAAAAACCTCTAAATAAATCTCTGTGTTAGATGAAATATCATTCCACAAGTTAACATTAATTTGATTGCATGTTTTTGTCACAGAAAGTTACTGTTCTTCATAATTATCCAAAAATGAAACTAGGCATGCTGTCACATTTGTTACTTCATTATTTCATTATTGCTAATTTAAGTAAGAATGTCTTACAGCTTTATTGGTATAATTTTCTTTGTTGCAGTATCTCATCAGCAACAGAACAAATTTACACAGGCTTACATAGGTTTTTTGTCCTCCAGAACATTAGGATTCTTTTCTTACTTTCTCTTAAGACAAGTGGAAGATATATCTGACTATAGTTTAAATTGAAATTCCCGTTACTTTAGATCAGTTCTTCATTTTTCAGTTTAACTCCCTAATTTATATACCAAAGGCCTTTAAGTGGAGAGAGTGAAATTAAAAATCCTCCTTATTCAAAACTCACCCACTGTATCTGGATAAGCCCAAGTTTTTTATCAAGTACCTACTATTTGTTCATAAGCAATCAAAGGCAAGAAAGGTGTGTGTATGCTTTACTTGAGGATTGTGCATGACTGTAGGGGCATTCCACAGTGGTTTAGGTCTCATTTGCTGTGGTTTAAATTAGCTCAGAGCACTTAGAAAATGAGTTGCAGTTTAATTGACAGGCTAGTGGTGTTAAAGAACTGAGGTTCTGAAATATCTGATACTTCTCCTTTTGATCTGTTATTTTTTCACAGTTTATGCTAAAAACCTGTAACTATAACATGTTAGGTAGGCTGAGATTGATCTTATGGCAATGTAATATTTAGCTGTCTGGTACAGCTTCATAACACATACTTATTACCTTTTTTTTTAGATTACAAACAAAGATTCCAGCTATAGGTTTTCAGATTGTACCAGAAGGCTGTGAAGATTTTTCTTAGAAATTGTTTTCTCTGTTTCCAGAACTTCAGTTCATTCAGATGCTTTTGACAAAAATATGTATTGCATCCAATTTTAAGTTATATTTAAGAGATCTTTAAATCACATCAACAGAAAGATTTTTAACTTTATGAGAATGCCTAAACACTCATTCATTCTTGAGTCTTCCCAGAAACAGTACATGGAAAATACTGAGGACAGTTGGCTTTAGTTTTCATCAGTGCTCTCTCCAGAGGATGACACATCCTTCCTGCCACCAGAGGTCCCAGCCCCTCTCCAGCTGCTGATGCTCAGAGCCCTTTCACACGCACAGACAGACACACACTGCTCCCAGTCCCTCCAGGGACACCACCTGGATGTGCCCTCCTGTGACGGGACAAGATGGGCAGGGTGGTTTCTGAGCTGTCCCCCCTGCCACCATCTTCCTGTGCTCCTTTGACAGCATGCAGAGGAGCATTTGATCTCATCACCTATCAGTACATATCAGAGCAATTAAACATACTTCAGATCATTTGCTTACATTTTACAATATGCTGAGAAAAGTCTCAGTCAAGTAAGGAAAAACCAGCAGTAACCAACTTACTTTTCAACATGGATTTCATTAGGAAAATGAGTAAGCAACAGATGCTATTTTGTGTGATAAACTCATTTGGATTGTGATAGGTGGCAAAATATAGGAAAAGAAGACTAAACAACATTTAGGGTTAATTCTAGCAAAGAAAACATAACAGTTTTGGATATGAGGGAAGATAGATGCACATAGGTCGAGGGACTTTGTTATGCAGCTTAGAGTAAAAGGACAGTTATTTTCTTCTCATAGCACTAAGAATGGAATCATAATGACTTAGCGTTGTTTAAAGCTAGTAAACTGCAACTGTAAATCAGGAAATTAGCTAATGATTGCCTCTGGGTAGCAATACATAATGAAAAACAAATGAGGAAAGGTACTCATGCATTGAACTTTGTAGCTACTGGAAAAATTAAAGTTCTATCTTCATAAAAATACTGTTAAAGGGATGTTATGAAGGGCTGTGCCCTGGTAGCAGAACAATTACTGCTTCAAATGAGTATGTTTTTTAATAAATGCTACTATAGTAAGTCTGCAATTCAGTGCTATCACTTTTAAATGATTCATGGTGTAACTGAGAGGTTGTATCTGCAGTGGAAAGCTCTGAAGCCAAATACTGTATTTCTGGCCCTTTCTAGACAGTGCCAGTCTCAAGTACTAGAAATACATATAAATAAATAACCAAATAACATCACAGATTGATGATATCAGTATGCCAATAGTCTTCAGTGCAGAGACAGTAATGGTAAGCAAGACCTCAGAGCTTTCAAACCATAAATTGATTTATTGGCATTTTTAATAAAATAAAGTAAAAATATGATCATAACAAAGCAATAACATTTTGATCTCTTGACCCCACACCCGTCCAGCTTATTCTTGCACAGTTCCTGAAACTTGCACAATGATTCTTCACTTCCTATATTGCTTGTGCTCAGCATATTACTGTGGTTTTGCTTCCAAATTACATTACTTTTAGTAACTTGGCTGTGTTTAATTGTCCATGTCGTAAGTAAAATTCATTTCTCTTTGCTGTTTAACATTTCCTAGAGAAGTTCTGCAGCTGACATGCTTTGTATCTTTCTTGTCACAACATGCCTACCAACATTTTTTACATTGAGGTGTCTCTTTGTTTACAGAACAGACTAATTAAGGGTCTGATCAAATTTGCATCTCTTTATGTCAATATGGGATAAGTGTGGTGATGATCAGCTCATTCAAATAAAGTGGAGTCCACATGCATGTAATGGTATTTTGGCTTGTTGCTTCTACCGCTAATTATTGATAATTTCTATTCTGATAGATAATGACCAGTGTTTTGAAATGCCATAGGGAAGGTATGGTTAGCTCCATGAAATTCAGAGGAGGCACTGACGTTTCCATACAGCATACAAAGATGAGCATGCTAAAACAAGTAACTCCTTTTAAATCATATACCACTTGAGCACCTGGGAGCCACTCCCTCTAGCAAGACTTTCCTTCATTTAAGTGGCTGTAGCCCTAACTGCAGGCACCTCAGCCCCACACAGGAGAGCCAGGATGCAGCAGATCAAGCCCTTGGAGCCAGAGGCAGGGAGTACAGAGCACTCAGAAGGTGCTGCAGATGGGACACAGAATCCCAGTGGCACACTGTACCTCTGGGGTGTCAAAATCTCCCCAAGCAGGAAATAATCACATTTTTGTATTCTACATCTTGGATAGTAAGTCTAAAATTTGAATTTTTAAATAAAATGTTAGTGGGAATTAATGAAATGGGATTCTCTGGAATCACACGTTTGGTTTGGGTGCTGTAGGCAAAGAATTTACCTTACAGATTGGTTTTGGAGTTTATCATATTAGGAAAGTAACATTAAGACATGAAACTGATTCTCAGAACTGATGTATTTTAGTTATGAAAACTTATATATTCCTGGCTTAGACGATAGGTGACAATGGCAATTTGGAGAATATGAATTTTAGAAGAGTATCCAAAGAGGCAGTTATGCAGACTTGTACTTCAGAGTGAATGTAATCCTTCTCTTCAACTGAAGGAATTTTAAAATGTTATGAGTCATGTTTCCCAAAAACTTCAAACCACAGCTGGAAGCTGTCGAAACAGATCTGTTGCTGTAAAAGAGTAAAATAATATAAAGAAATATACAGGCTAGGAATTTGTAATCTCATGTGAGGGGCAGTGGAAAGTAGTGAAGAACCTGATCCACCTGTCATTTTATACAAAGATTCTGCAAGATCTTTTGATCAAAACCTTGTGTTTCTTCCACTCTCTAGTATTTAGAGATCATTATTATTATTATTATTATTATTATTATTATTATTATTATTATTATTATTGAAAGCAGCTCTTTTTTCAGCATACAGTCATTCTACTGCTTTTCTGGCAAAATTCCAGTTTGTGTACGTGGATATTTGTATAAGACCAATTTCCATGAACATAGATATAAATGTTTTTGTTTTAGTACTGAAGGAATGCAGAAATCCCTTGTGATGACAGTAACAATATACTTATTTATAACAAAAAAAAAAAATCCAGAACATTTACAGTCTTGAAGCCTTCATGCCATCAATGAGCAGGGATGAAATAATGGAACAACTTCTGTGGGGAGAGATTATAAAAGCATACAAAGCATGGGTTTTAGTCCAAATACATTTTTTG